CCCCAAAAAGGTCACTTGCTTTTACTATCCTGTTTGTGTTTACTATCCCACTGTTGGTGGCCCCTCCTTGTAATATAAATTTTACTTAGGGAAAAAACTCAAAGAGTTCATTTTGCTTCAGGATAGTAAACATAGGTGGGATAGTGGTATAGTAAACGTAGGTGGGATACTAAACATAGGTGGGATAGTAAATGTAGGCAGAGTAAGGACAAGCCAGATAGTAAACACCCAGCATCCTAAGGCTGGGCTGTAACCATGGGAAACAGTTTACTACCCCCTTCACTAGCTTTCCATTCATTTTCCAATATTTTCACACACTTCCAACCTAGCATACATCAAGGTACTACCGTGTTGAAAAATAGATTGGGACATTCTTGATATCGTCAGAATCGTAAGAATTAGCACTATTTCTAGATGTCAAATTTGTACCAGGTTGTAGCATGAATAGAAGGGGTTTTCTGAATGGTGGAAGTGGGTATCCAAGCTGAGTCCGTGCATGGGCAATTATCCTGCCTACAACGTCATCTACACACACAGCCACACCTGTGGGGGTATCTCCACAAGAGATCCTAGGAGCATCTGGTGTGTGGGAGGTCACCCAGTGTGCCCAGGTCTGGGCATGTTGCACTGCAGCCAGGTCAATGGTACATTGATGCAAGGAAAGTCGTTGTAGGCGGGCACAGCTGGTACTGCACAAACAAACCAAATATCGCGATTTCCCCATCCCTGCACATCCCCACTTCACGAAACACATCACACACGTCCTCATATACCATTACTACTCTTCCATGATTTTTTCCTATTTTTCCAGACACATTCCCAGTCCTCACAGACCAAATTCCCATGCCCACCCAGCAGTGCGGCCACACTCAGATTGGATTTCACTTATCTCAGCAACCACTGCACCAATTTGGACAATATTGGTACCGTTGGAAACGCGTCATTTAGGAGTACTAGGATCCGTAATTAGCGGAAGTTGATTGGCGATGGATAGAGTTGGATATTTTTTGGCTGGAAATCATTTATTGCTTTATTGTTTTCTTGATTATTGTTTTCCCTTCCTTTTTCCAATATTGTTTGTTGCCGATATGACCCACCTAAGCACATGGGACTCATCGGATATTTTCCTTCATTTTTTCTGATCATTTCTCATATATACCTGTACATGAGGATGCATCTACTTTTTCCTTTGGATTAGAAACCACCGAGTTTGCCCCTCCCAAGCTAGTAGGGAGTAGTACGATATAGAAGACAACTAAGAAGACCTCTAGATCAGTCCTCACCTTAGTGTCACCCAGAGAGGTGGGGTGAGAGATTGACTGGAGTACACCACACACCGGACCACACCGGACCATACCATATCACCATTACCCCTTTTTCCTGACCTGTTGGATACCTATCCAGTCCCCATCTTTTCCTGTTTTCCTAGTGGGTTAGATCCCTAGCCCGCTTACATCATCCCTGTAATAGAAAAGGAAAGAAGAAGAAAGGAGGGAAAGGGGGGGAAGTTGAGCAGGGGCACCGGGTGAGGACAGTGTCAAAATTGTATCCGGTGCAACTACTGGACTTATCCAGAGCTCCAATTCAAATGGCTTCAAATCCAGGTTACATGGCAAGGACATAAAATCATGGACAAGCCTGGTATCAAACCCAGGACCTCTAGCATGCATCCATACACTACTCGCCCTTGAGCCAAGCCATATAGGCTGTTAAACTCTATACTATTGGGAACATATTATATTCTCCAACATAAATGACACCATACAGTAGAGACTGCAGGGTCCGGAGTCAGAAGTCAAAGTCCGGAATATTGGCTAGATGCACTAAATGAAATGTAATAAGGAATACAAGGAGATAAGACAGAGGAGGAGGTCAAAGTCTGGATGTCAGAAACGATGTTCATGGTGATCGCAGGAAGTGGAGCGGAGTGCAGCAATGTGGTTAGGCACTTAGCTATATGCAACTTCAGCTTCTGGAGCGTTGTGCCATGTGTTCCAGGCTGTCCCATATTTTGAGTTAGTGGGAGGGACCTTGCAGCGATGTTGACTCAGGCAAAGATGAGACTTAAGAGGCAAACTTAAGATGGGAATACTGTGAGGGGAATTCAAACTAAGGTATGTACATCAACGTTAAAGTACAAGTATAAATACAAGGGGAGAACAGAGAAGGGGCCAGTCGGTCCGGCACAGGACAGGAGTGGAATGATAAGTATGACAAAACCAAATGAGCGACAAGGACCAGGGAAATGGAACAGAAGGAATGAATGGACAAAGGACGGTGAAGCGGGGAATCAGACTGGATAGGGATGGCAAACTAGGCACCAATATAGTGGCGGATCAAATGTCAATGTAAATAAATCAAATGTCAATATGTGAATAATGTTAGAGACCAGATCGAGATGAAGGAGTTGTCTCCATGGTGGAGGGCTTCGGCCTCAGCGACTCAGACCAGGAGTACTGTGCCAAGTTACACGTCCATGCCCTAATTTACTTACTGGCAATGAGAACTAAAGGGGGATCAACTCTAGTCGATTTTATCACTGAGGTGTAACCTATGTACAAGTTGAGTATATATATAGTTACAGCGATGGTGGGCCCATGAATGGCAGGGCCGAGCAGAGTGGAGCTAACGGAGTTAAACATTAGCTGACTGAATATTACCGACAAGTCGGGTTATGGGGTTAGCAGAATGGCAGGCAATAACCCAGAAATGGAAAGGAGGGATAGGCCTGAAGGTGGACTTGCAGGGCAAGCAAGTGAATTGCCCAGTGGAGGTGGGAGTGCGCTAGCGGACATCGGAGCTGTCTGGAAGCCTTTGGGGCTCCATACTTAGGGAGGCATAGGTAATATATTGAATTGAGGGGGTGGTGACCATCGAGGGAGGTGGAGGTGATTGCAGAATACAGGAGCTCTGAGGTTAGTGAAGAAGGAGCAGAGGTAGTCTGGAAGGATTGGAGGTAGTGGAAGACAATGGCTGTGGATGGATATGATCAAATGTCAATGTAGGAGCAGATCAGCAGCGACAATATCAACCACTAGTAAGTTAAGCGAATGAATAAGAATAGAACGATGGTGGCTGTCATATCCATCCACAGCCATTGACTTCCACCACTTCCGATCCCTCCAGACTACCTCCACTCCTTCTCCACTAACCTCAGAGCTCCCGTATTCCGCAATCACCTCAGTATCCCTCAATGGTCACCACCCCCTCTTTTCAATTTATTACCTATGCCTCCCTAAGTACGGAGCCCTGAAGGCTTCCGGACAGCTCCGACGTCTGCTAGCGCACTCCCACCTCCGCTGAGCAATACACTCGCTTGCCCTGCAAGCCCACCTTCAGGCCTATCCCTCCTTTCCATTTCTGGGTTATCACCTACCATGCTGCTAACCCCATAACCTGATTTGTCGGTAATATTCAATCGGCTAATGTTTAACTCCATTAGCTCCGCTCCGCCCAGCCCCACCATTCATGGGCCCACCCTCGTTGTAACTATATATACTCAACTTGTACATAGGTTACACCTCAGTAATAAAATCGACTAGATTTTAGTTCTGGTTGCCAGTTAGTAAGTTAGGGCATGGACATGTTACTTGGCACAGCGCTCCTGGCATAAGTCTCTGAGGCCGAAGCCCTCCGCCATGGAGACCTTCGTCTCGATCTGGTCTCTGACAGTGGCTGAATGACAGGGAAACTAAAGTGGTGATGGGAAAGGAGGAGCCACTACGGGACTGTGGACAGGGGCCACTATTGGCACCACTGAGTGATGGACAATGGGCATGAACAACAGGCACAAGAATGGTGGCGGGGTGTAAGTGACAGAAGTAGTGAAAGGATGGGGGCGTTGCAGGGCCATGACACCGGAGGCAGAGATGTGACTGGAGTTCTGGAGGTGGAGGTGTGATGGGGTTCTGGTACAGGAGTCCAGAGCTGGAGGTGTGGAGCATCACAAGCTCTGTGTCAGGGGATGACTCCTGGGTCCCCATGACCCTCCCCTATGGTCCACAGCCTCTGGTGTAACCAGCCCTATCCAGGGCACAACTACTGTGGGTAAGAAGATGAGAAGGAAGCTAACTTCTCATCTTCCCACAGTGGCCACAATATCAGGCAAACTTCCGGGGATACCCAGAAGTCACATGAGGGCAGGATCCGGGGCCGGATCATGTGGTGCGTGGAGCATGCAGCATGGGAAGTCTGTGCGGGAAGTGTAGCGGGTCCGGGCTAGTCAGGGTGTGTGCCCTGACTACAAGGTTGGGATCGGACCCGGAGTAAACCAGAGTCGGACCAGAGGTAGTGTTGGACGTTGTGGAGGAGATGGAGGTCCAGAATCAGGAGCAGAGGTCCGGAGTTGTATGGATATGACACTAATGATAATTCACACCATTCCCACTTCAGGGACACCTGCCTGCACCATGCCAGGCGATATACCTGGACACTCTTGACCCCGGACCGGTCCCTGACAATAAGTGGATCTTGGACTCAATCGCATCCCAAAGATGATTCTTGGATCCTGGATACCCATGTTTTCTGACATTGTTTGCTTCATCTTTCAGCTTGTTCCTACCTCTCTTTTCCTCTTCTTTGTTGTTGCTTCCTGTTGTTGTTATAGGCTAGACTTGGGTCACCCCTGAGTCACATGTACCGTGATGTAGTTACAGTCACGTGACCCAGCGGCACCTTCCGGTACCACTCTACACTTATGGCCAGGTGTGCTGAGCAACCCCAACTGACCTCACAGTGTGATATGTGCACCACATCTTCTACTAGGAGAACCTGAGTCGCAAATTACTCTTTTTTGTCATTTTTGTTGTGCATTTTTCAGAATAATTATATGGAAGGACAGAATCCATCATTACCGCAATGGTTTGGTTCCTATGGTCAACATGTCTAATGACACTGATGCTGAGTTGTGAGATGTCTGTGCTGCCCTTGCCTGGTAGACCTGACCAAAAATGTAATTTATTTCATGAATACATTAATTTAAATTTAATGGAGGCACGAGATTAAATATGACTTGTGTGCGCCGGCCTCAGCACCTCAGTTTTCTTCTGGGTATCCGCCGTGCCCCTTTGCTAGGTCAAGTCCTCGTCTGTACGCAATATTCATTGCTGTATGCCTTTAGACTGTTCATCCGTGATGTTCAGTTTTTCTTAGTTGTCTGGTATGCAATTGTGTCCATGTTTCTGATTTCTGCTGCTTGATCGTACGTCGGTGGATTTTCTTTCTCTTTACACGTGTCTGCTGTACGCTTCGGCCTCTGTGCCTTCTTTCCTTTATGCGCGCCCGCTGAGCGCTTCGGCCTCCATGCCTTCACTTCTGCGTCCGCGGTACGCTTTGGCTTCTCAGCCACCACCTCTCGCATCCGCTGCACGCTGTTGTTCTACAGTCTTTTATCTCTCTTGCGTCCGCGCACGCTGGAGTTTATTTCCTTTTTCTATGACTCTGACGTATATTTCTAACTAATTCTCTTATTAGTTCTGGTTAGGGTGGTTGGTTGGTGTTGAATATTCGGTCTTGCATTGGATAAGGCAGTTAGCCTTGGTTACCCTTTGCAAGTGGGATCCCGGATGTTTACGGTGTCTTTCATTTTTCGGCTCATGCCTTGTTTCTTGTAACTTCACTTCTTCTCTTTTGTCGGCGCTTCTTGCTGCTACTCTCTGTTGTTTTCATCGTTACCCTCCACCTGCCCCATCGCCTCCTTTTTTTGGGGTTTTTGTATCTACCGGCTCGCTTCAAATCAAGAGGCTTCGACATCTTGTCGGGGCCGTCGCCACGCTATCCGTTACGCCTTCGCCCACGCACAAGATACATTATGATGAGTACAATTAACAAGTAAACAGGAGATGAGTACACGTGAGTGCAGAGAGAAACCTAGGCCTGCACAACCCTTGGACGCTTAGATTTTCTATCTGGTGTCTCAGGATTCCTCTTGACATCGGTGAGAAGAACAAGGGTATACATGCCCAGGCTCTGATGGCATACTTCGAAGGCCTCCAATGCTACCTGGTGAGGGTCTGCCGACAAGGACTTGTTCTCTGCCTTGCTTTTGAACATTTCCACCAGGTCCTCACGCATCAAGTCCAAGGCTCCCAGTGCGGTTTTCAGGCCCACCTCAGCAGTGGATAGTTTCGGATTTATGCATGTATTTGCTCTCTGCACGAGAGATCCATCGTCCCGAAAGAAGTTGTTGCGCTTAGGGCTAGGCTGGGAAGGGAACAGTTCCACGAACAGATCACGTGTTGCATCGACTCTTTTCTGAAGTTCTTCCCCCAAGGCAGATTGGACGGTTGGCTCTGGGACGCGACTGATGAGAATCCAGAGGGCAACCCACCACATAGACTCTATATCATGAAGGGGATGGAAGGGTGGAGGCTCTGATTGGGGGGAGGAAGAAAAAACCTTGACAGCCTGTTCACGGGAAATTCCCTCACGCCTATTCATCTTGGATTTGAGGTGCAGTGGGCCCTCAGTGAGTATCTCGCAGGCCATGAATTGAAGTGTGCCCTATAGGTGAAAACCCGCTGAGGGTCAAATGAGGCCATCTCTGGGAAGGTATTTGGCCTCACGGTCTTCACGTTATCCTTGGGTGGATCGCTCATATGCCGCATGTACTCCAAATCGCCCAGCTGACCGGTCTTACAACTCTTGTCCCAGAACAGGTTCCCTGGGCTGATGTCCCTGTGTACGTAACCATACTTTGACATCAGCTTTAAACCTAAGGAATAAAATGAGGGACTGGGGAACCAAATGGACTAATGGAGAATAGATACCTTTGACACACCCCATGAGGGCTTGGAATATGTCCCCTGCAGAACGCAACTCGGTGAGGGAGTAGGGACGTCCTAGGAACACATCGCGGTAATGGACTCTTTGGACGATCTTCTTTGGGAGGTGAGGAGGAGGAGGAGCCCAGAACTCAGGGTTGGACGTTGGCGTTTGGGTGCCAAGAAGGAACGATGGATCCTTGGCGTCCTCCAACCTGAGGGGAAGAGCCCTAGCATTGTGTAGCGACTCAGGCAAGGTTAGGGAGAGGGGATGGGTATCGGATAATACGGGTCCAGAAAGCTCTGGAAGATGATTCAAAAAATATTCTTTGAAGGCCTCCAAGTCTTCCTGCTTTTCTTTGGGTGTCAAGGCCTTGCTTCGGATGTCCTCCCTGAGTCGTTGTCTGATGTCCTTCTCATGAACCCCGTCTACTGGTCCCCAAATGGCCCGAACCACGTATACCTTGCCGTCCTCCTCCTTGTCATCACTCTCTCGTTGATGTGCGGACCAGGCTCGAGTGGCGCGACCGATCATGGCGTTAGCTTTGAAGTCTGATATGACTTCTCGGGTATAGAGCGTACGCCCTCCGGCTTGGATGGCATAATAGATCCTGTTGTCGCTTTTGGCCCGTTTGAGGGACATGGTAGGGTCAAAGGAAGGGTTTGGAAGAGAAAAAAGGCTGACCCAGAATTGGATAAGGGTCATAGGGTCCTGAAAATAATGTCAGGAAGAGAGATTTTGGGGAGGAACCGTCACTTTCCTTTAGGATGTTGAACGGCTCAGAAACCAACACCACCATACGGTCAAAGTACCACACCCTTGCATTGGCCTTCTCCACGGTGAGACCAGTGGTCCATAGCCGGCGAGGGTCTGTGCGTAGAATCTGATGGCCGCTCCAAACCACCTTGCTGCGGTTCTGGAAGAGAGATGATAAGGTAATGACAAAGAGAGAAAATGCATCCTCACGTCGAACTGGCTGGTCAACGCATTCGATTTTTTGAACTCCCATGCTTGTACAATGTCCTCCCAGGCATACTTGGTTTTCGGGTGGGTTGATGGCAATGCCAGGAATCCATCTGGCTTAGACGTGGTGGGCTTCTGACCACGAGGAGGTATGTCGCCCGTGCTGATAGCCTTCACCTCCAATGGGAAAGAAGCGACCATAGACATCTTCTCAAAGATCTGGACCAGAGGACGGTACATGATTTTTTCTGACAACGAGGTGGGTTTCTGACTGTGATGGGCTATGCCGCCCTTGCTGACAGCCTCAACGTCCGATGGGAAAGGTGTGACCTCGGAGATCTGTGCTGGAGGTTTGCATATGTTTTTTTCTGAGGATAAGAAAATATTGTTTTCTTCCTCTTCCTGCACCTGCATCCCCTCCTCTCCGTCTTCTTCTTCCTGCATCTCTTCTTGGTTCCCCAGAACGGGGGCAAGGCGGGACCATTGACCCTGGAAGTTAATCTCACCCCCATCGCGGAGGGCCTTCCAGACGGTATCAAATGTGGCTTGGTGGCACTGAGGCATAGTGGAGGACAGGAAGGTTGGAAAAGGGACTTCTCGCACAGCCATGAAGAGATCATCGATGAGGGTTGCTCGTTTGACGTCAAGGGGCCCACTGTAGTAACTGGGAGAGTGGATGGGTCTTCCTCCGCGCATCGGGGTGGTAGATGATGACAGCTCAGCTTGCAGGGAAGTGCTGCATTCCGGTGTGTGGAATCGTTTAGTGGAGGCGTTGGATTCCATGGAAAGGCGTTTGTTTGTGACGCCGGAAGTTTGTGTAAGCGATAAGCTTACACAAGTGTAGAGAACTGTATTATAAGCTAGAACCTTAGTAGATAGAAAAAGGTGGAGATCTTGTACTTTACACCCTCTAGTGTAATATCGAGTTCGACTTTGGTTCAGCGACTTTCGATTACCCTAAGATTGTCCCTTAACAGTAAACCTAACAACCCCCCTTAGTAGAACGGATAAAAGTCACATGCACAGGCACGTGCGCTGAAAAATTTCTCGAAAATCATAAAATTAGTTCCGCAAATCTGATTCCAGATTTTCCATATTTGTAATTGGGTATGTCTATTTTTTTCAAAATGAGTTCGGTTGGGTTGGGTTTGCTCATACCGTAGAGTCGAGCAATTCAGATTACCACACCTTGATCATTTATTTATGACATTTTAAGCAGGTGACCAGCCTCTCTTTAACGGGAAGAAATCTCTAGTTGGTTTTAAAATATATTTCCTCATTTACGTAGTTGTGCACGTGGCTTTTGTCCGTTCTACTAAGGGGGGTTATTAGGTTTAGTTCCCTTAACCACTTGAACTCAATCGCCGGCCTGTGAGGGACCTTAACGTCGGCAGAGGCCGGCGATTGAGTTCAGGTGGTCAAGGGACTATCTTAGGGTGATCGAAAGTCGCTGAACCAAAGTCGAACTTGATATTACACTAGGGGTGTAAAATACAAGATCTCTCCTTTTCCTATCTACTAAGGTTCTAGCTTATATACGGTTCTCTATGCTTATGTAAGCTTATCGCTTACAGTCGCCCTCCTGCGACATTGGCGACTCGCATCTACGAATTAGGAATTAGTCGTTAGAAGCCGTATATAATACTAAAGATAAAGGGAACAATAAAATAAATTCAGAACCTGCACTTACGACGAAGTCTAGACGTTCTTTGGAGCTGAGGAGCTCGCCTCAGCCGCTCCTTCGGGGTGTCGACCGAGTGTTCCATCTGTAGCGTTGCCATTGAGAGGTCATTCATATGGCCGATAGTGCTCGAAAGTGAAGGGGATGCCGGCGTTACAAAGTTTGGGGGGGCAACCGATGGCACATATTCCGCGTTCACAAAGAGATTGTTGGGGTCGATTGGCGCGTTGTCTGTGTTCGCGAATGGGTAGGGAGTTGGGGTTGGAGTTGGGGTTCCACCACTAGGTCCCGCGTTGTCAGTGTGTCGTTCAGTAGGCCTCGTCCCAACATTACGGTATTTGTTTCGTCCGCGCACACCGCGCCTGGTGTAAGGACCTCCGCTGTGGGGTGGCACCCGCTCTCGGCTGTGGTAGGGAGATGTAGGAGGTAGTGGTGGGCGCGTGAACCTGCTAGGGGAACCGATGACCGTGCCAGAATTCAAGATGGCTTGCGCTTCTAGATAGGGAGCGTGGAGCGCGTGAGACTCGATCGCGTTCAGAATTACGTCCGTGAGGTTGTTAGCCTCCACCCATTGCGTCCAAAAGTTCGGTTCGGGGCCAGTAATCGTGCCACCAGACTCTATCATAGCAAGATGGCGGCATACCGCTGTGTAGTCCTTTGATTCCATGCCGGGCACAATCGTGAACCTGGGTTTTACTTTCGCAGTGAATCCTCTCCTGGGCGGGATGATGGTGTGCGAGTGTGGATTGAACATCGTGGCGTGTCCGTGGTTAGGGAGGGTCGATATGGGGGGGTTGGTCGAGCTACAAGCGAGACCTATCGATATTGCCGCAATGGATAGTCCTTTTATATGTTCAGTTACGTCTGATATTGGGGTATTTTGTTGTCGTAATTTCGTAATGTTGCTTACCCCTAAGACAACCAAATAATCGCTAAGTGCTGCCTTTCCGCGCAACATACTCCATGGTTCCCAGCTTGTAGAGCTATCCGACCACTGCACGAAGAACTTCGCGTTCTTGCCTTGGCCATCGTGCTTCATGATGCGCCGTATCAGCGTGTCGTCTGGCGTTCCAAGTCCGACGTAGTCGTCGACTTTTCGGCTAGGGAATAGGATATCGTCGTTAGGGATATGTGGGCGTAGTAATTTCGAGTGGAACACTGAGTGAATACCTCGTTTCTTGAGTTCCTCCGGCAACTCCAACTCGAAACTCGTGTTCGGTGAAGCCTCTCTTGCTATCCGCAAAGGTCCGATAAACTTTGGGGACAACTTTCTCGACTTGTTTTTACCTAGATTCAGATTTTCCGTCGAGAGATACACTGAGTCTCCAACTTTAAACGGAACTTGTCTTCGAGGTTTATTAGCTAACCATGTCTGATTTGTTCTTGAATCGATTAGCGCGTCGTGCGCATCAAGTGTAATTGATGTCATTTTCCGGGCCAGTGCCCGTATCCCGCGGTAAGGCGATTCTTGCGAAACGAATATTGGGTTCGGTTGTCGTGATCCGTTTCCTTCGAATGGCGAGTAGCCGGTACTATCAGAAGTCGACATGTTGATCGCCAATTCGATTATCGGCAGTTTAGATGCCCAATCTCTTTGGTTCTGAGATACTGCTTGGCGAAGCATCTGGCTGATGGTACGGTGTGCGCGCTCGGTAGCGCCGTCTGTTTCGGGGTGGTAAGCGCTGGAAAGACGGAGTTCTACGCCAATCAGCTTGTGTAGTTCATTCCAAAACGTCGAAGTGAATAAGCTATCACGGTCGCTTACTATCCGTAGTGGTAGTCCATGTAATCTATAAACGGACTCGAAGAAAACCTCCGCCATATTGCGTGCTGTATATGTCTGTAGTGTCGGTACCAGGTGGACCATGCCGCTAAAATGGTCGATTATCGTACAAATCATGTCGAACGCGCCATGTCGTGTTTTTGAAAGGGGCATCGGTCCCATGAAGTCTATGCCGATGGATGAGAAGGTATTGGTAGCGTCTTGAGTAGTCCGAACGGCGCTGTTGTCCGTGACTTTGACCTTGCGCATGTTGGACATGAGGCGCAAAACTTACGAGTATCGCGAAGCAGGTTCTTCCACCATACATGGCGTCGAAGGTACATTTGAGTCTTCTCTGCCCCTAAGTGTGCTAGGACGGAGTGTGCATGAGATATGATTATCTCGCGTAAAGATCGTGGTCCGATTGATGCATCTGGTATGCAAAGTACAATGAACTGTCCGTTTCTCATGAACACGAAAGACTTGTCGTCGTCGTTCTCCCGACGGAAAAGTTTGGGAAATGAGAGGGATTCTCCAAGACCTTCACAAAGAACGCGTCATGACTGTACTCATCTGCGATCAGTTCCAGTAGCTTGAGGTCCGGTTCATTCTGGGAGACTAAAGATATGAGGCTGGGCGGCATCTCGGTGTTCTCGGTTTCTAACTCTGAGTGGATCTGATTAGACACTTGGTCTGTCGACTGCGGTAACTCGCTGTCGTTGGTTTTTCGCATGTGAGCCGGTACCTTGATCTTAATCTTTATTCTTTCCGGTGATTCTTCCTCCTGAGTCTCTCCCGTGGCAGGAGATGGTTCATTCACATCTGAGGTTACTGGTTTCTTGGGGGGATAGATGCGTAGTCTGCGTGGTTGCGCAACGGCGATCCCAGTGACCACTGGGGCTGTGTAGGATGTATCCCTTGGGGCTCCATTCTCGCTATCATTTTCCGATAAAGTTTCCGATACGAACTCTGAAGCGGCGCGGACTGTGCCCGCAGTTTCATCGCTGTACATACGAGACAATGAATCAGGGAATCCGTTCTCTTTCCCCGGCAAGTAATTAATCGTAAAATCGAAATCACTTAGTGCATCCAGCCAACGTGCCTGGCGTTGAGATAAATTCCGTTGGGACTTAAGGAATTCCAGCGGTTTATGATCAGTAAACAATCTAAATCTACAACCAAGCAATTGGTCTCGGAATCGTTTCAATGATTCGATTATCGCCAACAATTCTCGCTCATGGACGGGGTAATTCTGTTGTGTAGGAGTAAATTTCCCGGACCAGAAACAAGCGATTTGGGCTGTCTCCAGGTCGTCTCCTTGACTCAAAACACCGCCTGCTCCTGTCAGCTAAGCGTCTGTAACCAAATTAATCGCGGGAGCCTCTTTCGAATAATCAAGTGGCTTTCTATGATGGTTGCGGTGATCTTGAACAATTTCCTTAATTTGTTCGAATGCGCGTTTGTGCGTTTCATTCCATTTCCAGACCTTCTTGGCATTGGTCAGTGGTGTTAATACACCCATAGGGATGCGGATCCCTTTACAATTGGGGGCTAGGTAGCCTACAGCTCCCAAGAATCCGTGCAACAAAGATGCGTTCGTGGGAACTTTCCAATTCCTGATACTGTACCCACACGACCAATTACCGGTCACGCATCACACTGACGTTCCGGTTGAATGATCCTTGTCACACCATTTTTTTTGGCGCCTGAGTGGCTGTGTGAAACCAAATCAAACCCAACGAAAACAAAAGCCGTCTGCAAGGAAGTAATTTTTTGGGTGTAAAATGTATCAAAACGAAAATTTGCCAGTTGGACATTTCCAGCGCCACTGTGGCTGGTGTCACACCAACCTTGCCACCTCTTCTGGTTGCTTGTCACATGTCACAAGGAGAAGCTGGTTGATTATTTTGTGTCACACTCGGAGCCTCAGCCGGTAATTGGTCGTGTGGGTACAGTACTCTCAACTTTGTTGGGGTCCATTCTGATTCCTTTCCGGTTGATCACATGGCCCAATATCTTCAGTTCGTCAGCGAAGAATTGCAGTTTATCCGGTGTGGACAAATAGAATTTCTGCTTTTCCAACAATCGGAATACCATGCGGCAGTGCCTGATGTGTTCATCTATTGAATTTGAATAGATTATTATGTCATCTAACTACGGGTCTACCCATTTTCCAATATATGGGCCGAACATATGACACATAGTCATTTGCCATGTCGTGGCAGCATTCTTGTTGCCTTGGCACATGACTCAGCTTTTCATCATGCCATCTGGAGTGATAATTAAGTTTTTCTCCTTGTCTGCTGGATCTACTCTCATTTGTTCATATGCATCTCGTCCATCTACTATGGACACAAACTTGTGACGGGCTACTCTATCAAGAATAGCTCTTATGTCAGGGAGTGGAGAGGACATTGGGACAGTGTTCTCATTGATTTCGCGCTTATCTACTACTGTCTGGATGCGAACTTCTCCATTTGGCCCTGTTTTCTTCTTGAGGACCAGCAAAGGCATGCCATTAGTACCATTGTAGTATACCCATCATCCAGATCTTAGCATTAT